TCTCAACTCAAAGCTAAGGGAAGGTGCCGTCTTTCCTCTTCTCATGGGCAGATCGACAGGGACCATCTTGACAATGCCAGCATTCAGTTTGGAACAAGCATCCTTGAAGCTTCCTGCACTCATGGCCTCCCAGTCTACGCCAGGCTGAAAATGGCCCCCCACAAAAACACAGAAAACATTCACTTGGTCCCCAGAGTCATTCAGCTGGTTGGAAGCTGGAGGAGAAGCCACGAGAAGAAGCCACTGTTCAGGTCTGACAACACAGCTTGGAAGGAGAAGAACCAAGGTTGGCAAAGGGAAGGGAGGCTCCTCCTGGGAGAGGTGAGGCAGCGCACACACGGCCCTCTCCAGGTGACAGCAGCATGCCCGCCCAACCTGCCCAATGAAATTCTAGATTGTTGCTTGTTTGTTTGTTTATTTGTTCTATTTGTTTATTTTTTTTACAATCGTCCATACTGATTTCTAAATCTTTTCACTCAAAGTCAATATAGTACTCAAAAAACTAAAAGTTGGCCAATGCTGACAGCGTACTTCATCATATGGGTCATCTCTTAATGCCCATAGCACAGAGATGCACAAAGACAGATATTTGAAGAAGCCAAAGACCTCACAAGAGAGACTGACCATTTTGACGAATCTCTAGAAATCTTCTAGAATTGGATTTACTGATCACTGAGTGACTATGGGTGAACAACTTGAGGGCTATGGTGTTCCTGACCTCCTCAGGGACGGGGACACAAAACTGAAGCAGGCTGAGGTCTTGCACCCTGGGGCCTCCGTTTATGGGTGGCTAGGCCATGCAGGATGGCCAGCCCAGCAGGCAGAGGGAAGACAGAGCCAGGGCCCCAACCAAGGAGGAAAACTCAGTTTTGGTGAGCTTATCCAGAACTTCCAGATCCTAAAAGCAAGAACGAAGAAATGTTCATTCCAAATTACATTCAAATTGCCATTTTTGGAAAATACAATTTTATTTTGAATTTTGCATGCATCATCGTCTTTTCAGATTCCTGGGGTCTTTACCAGTCTCTTACGCACATGCACAACATGAAGGCAGGAATGACGGTGCCCTGGGACACTGGTCATCACAGGCCAGGGAGAGGTCACCAGCCTTCTCAGAAAGGGACAGTATAGCTCCTGATCCTGCAGGGCCAGGCACGGCTCTAATTGTCCTGGTGCTGCTGGCACTCGGAAAGCCAGCGCCATGCCCTCCCCCAGGTCCGCCTCTCAGCTGCACAAACAAAGCCAAATAAAAACTGCTGGTCCCGCTGCGACAGATGTGGCGCCTCTGCACCATCTTGTCTGTTCTTAAGGGTTTTTTTAATTGCAAACAGACAGATGTAGCTTGTCCCTTCCATCTTGTTTACGATGCTGCAGGAGCACCTGTGGAGGAACAAGTCCCTGCAGAAATCCTTGACTTCCCTTCAGATGGCTTGAGACGAACCAGCCAGCTCAGCAGCCCTGTCTGCAGATGACTCTGGGTTCTTCTGCACACGTTTGCTCCAGGCCTGGGGAAAATGGAGGAATCGTCCGTAGGATGATGCTAGTTACCTTAGCATGTGCTGCTTGGCCTTCGGGTCCGTGGACTGACTCTTGGTTCAGTCCAGCTCCTGACTGCACGGGCTGCTTCTTCCACCATTCGACCTTATGTCCACTTGTCATAGGACCCGCTGCACTGAGTGCAGAGCCCTGACCAGCCAGCGAGGCTATAGGACCTCTGACCATCCCCACATAGATTCTCCTGGTTTCAGATGAAGTGGCCCATTACCTGGTGTAGAAAACTGACATAGAAGCCACCAGAGTGAATGCTACGCGTGAGGGCAGAGAGAAGAGATGATGCTTGTAAGGAGAGCCAGGCTGGGGAATTCTCCCTGCTCTGAGTCTGACTCCAGACACCTTCTTAAAATTCTGCAGCCCTCCACATCCCATTAAAGACTGTTTGAATAGTACTCGACTGCATTAGCACAGATGAGGGAAGAGCAAGGACACAACTTGTGACTTCGTGTGACAACTGCCTCTTTTTCTTAACCTCAAGTTTTCGAGTCGCAGTTTTCGCTGTGTAACAAACCACCCCAAACTTAGTGGCTTCGAAACAACCCCCATCCGTTTAGCCCCTGCTTCTGTGGGTTGTCTGTGTGGTGCTTCTAGTACAGGCTGGCTCGGCTCACCACCGCGAGGCTCCCTCACGCGTCGGTGATCAGCCAGTGAGCGGGCTGGTGGGTTGGAAGGGTGAGATGGCCTTGGTCATATGGCTGGGGGCCAGAGGGACTGGTCCACATGGCTCTCATCAGGCAGCAGCCCAGCCCTGGTTTCTTCACATGGTGGTCACAACAAGAGAGTGAGGCCCCAGTGTGCTTTTCAAGTATCTGCCTGCAACATGTTTTCCACTGTCCCAGTGGCTACAGCCAGTCCCATGGCCAAGAGCAGAGTCAGTGTGGGAGGGCACCATCAAGAAGCTGGCTGCTGGGAGGGGAGGAATTTGTGGCCATTTTTGCATCCACCACAGTTGTTTTGCTTTTTGTTTTTTTCATTTTTTCTAGCCTTTTTAATAGAATGATTCAGTCACTTATTTTCAATTTTTAGTATTTATAAATGGTACAAAAGGTTAGCTTTGATTCACTTTTTAATGTACAGATATCTAGAAAAGTATTTTTAAATTGTAATTAGCTTGAACTTTTGCATAAAATTTTCTTTTTTCTACTTTTACTATAATTGGTCTGATAATTTGGCTTGAATGACTTTTATTCTTTAGGTTTTTTAAAGCCACAAGTTGTGTTTAATTCTTAACATCACACACATATTTGAAAAGTGTATATTTTTGTTTGACACAATTATATGGATACAGACATATGTAGATTTAGAGATAGAATCAACTTTGTCAGTAGTATTTTAAAATTTTCTCTACTGCTATTATCTGCCTGATCTGTTAATTTCTGAGAGGAGAAGGCCACATTATTATCGTGGGTTTTTATCTGATATGTGTCTATGCCATGTTGTACAAGGAATTAAAAATTAATTAATTATTCGAGAATTATGTAATTCTTATATACTCCTGTTGAAGTGAATTTTTTTATCAGTGTAAAACAACTCTCTTTACCCTGCTTAATGTTGGTTGCATGGAATTTCCTGTCATATTGGCATGGGCCAAGGATCGACAGAGCCATCACAGTGAGAATGTGGGTTAACTAGCTCCCCTATATGGTGAGGAGAATTATAAATGATTGTGCTCTTCCTAGAGTAAAATTCATCAATATAGTTAAAATTATAAGAACACTCATTCTATTTTAAAATTGAAATTTGTGTCCAGATAATTATAGATTTACATTCAGTTGAAAGAAATAATACAGAGAGATCCCACTTACCATTTTCCTATTTTCCACCAGTGGTAACATCGGGCAAAACTAGAGCACAATAGGGCCTGGCCCAGTGGCACAGTGGTTAAGTTCACATGTTCCGCTTTGGCGGCCCAGAGCTCGCTGGTTCAGACCCCGGGAGCAGACCTATGCACCGCTTGTCAGACTATCCTGTGGCAGGCGCCCCACATATAAAGTAGAGGAAGATGGGCACAGATGTTAGCTCAGGGCTAATCTTCCTCAAATAATTAATTAATTAATTGAATATAATAATAAATTAATTAATTATTAATAAAAAATAAATAAAAACCTACAGCACAATATCACAGCAAAGATAATGGCATTGATATAGTCCACTGATCTCATTCAGATGTCCCCACTTTTACTTGCGCTCATTTGTGCACGTGTGTGCATTTGGTTCTAGCAAAGCTAATCACATGTATAGATTCATATATTTACCACCGGTCAAGGTGTAGAACAGGTCCATCATTACAAGAATCCCTCATATTGCCCTTTTACAATCATACCCTCCTCTCTCCCATTCCCCACCCTTTGTCTCTAACTCCTGCATTTATAACATTTTGTCATTTTTTAAATGTTACACAAAAAAGTCACATGCTATGTACCACTTGGAGATTGGATTTTTTTCCACTCGGGATAGTTCCCTGGAGGTTCGTCCAATTATTGCATGTATAAATAGTTCTCTCCTTTTTATTGCTGAGTAATATTCCATGTATATATATACCACAGTTTAATCATTCACCCACTGTAGGATATATGGACTGTTTCTAGTTTGGGGCTATTGTGCATAAAGCCACTATAAACATTCACATACAGCTGCTTGTATGAACATAGTTCTCATTTCTCTGGGATAAATGTCCAAGAGAAGAATTTTGGGATCATTTGGCGATTCCATGTTCAGTTTTATAAGATACTGCCAAATTGCCTTTAAGGGTAACTGCATCATTTCACATTCTATCAACAGGATATTAGTGCTCCAGCTTCTCTGCATCCTCCTCAGCATTTGGTAAGACCACTGTTGTTTACTTTCACAAATCTGATCCACATATATTGATATCATATTATGGCTTGAATTTGCATTTCCCTGACGTCTCATAATATTGAATCTTTTCACAGGCTTATTTGCCATCTGCACATCATCTTCAGTGAAAAGTATAATTGCGTCTTTTGCCTATTTTCTAATTGAATTTTTTTTGTTTACTATTGAGTTTTAAGTGTTCTTTATATATCTAGATACTAGTCCTTTGTTGGATGTGTGGCTTGCAAATATTTCTTCCCAATTTGTTGCTTGTATTCTATCTTCTTCACCTGGATTTTCAGAGAGGAAAAGGTTTTAACTTTGATGAGTCCTATTTATCAGTTTGTTCTTTTATAGGTTGTGCTTTTGATATCAAGTCTAAGAAATCTGTGCCTAACCCTACATGCCAAAGTGGAGTTTTTTCTTTTTTCCTAAAGGTTTTATAGTTTTATGTTTTAAATTTAATTCTATAACCCATTTTGAATCAATTTTTGTATAAGGCATGAGGTTTAAATTGAGTTTCATTCTCTTGCCTGTGGATGTCCATCAGTCTAGCACGATTTGTCAAAAAGGCTATCCTTCTTTTGTTGAACAGTTTTTAATCATTTGTGAAAAATATGGAACACTTCATGAATTCACATGTCATCCTTATCCAGGGGCCATGTTAATCTTCTCTGTATCGTGTCAAATTTTTGTTATATCCATCACCAAAGGGAGCACTGCTCATACTTTGATTCTTCAGTTTGACTCATGGAAACTCATTTCTGAAGATGAACTTACATGTCCAAGGCTATTTAGTGCAGCATTATTTATAACAACAAATAAAATGGAGGGGAGGGGTCCAAAAATAGTAGACAGGAAAAATGTATTAGTGTGTAACAAAGTACCCCAAAACTTAGCAACTTAAAACAGCAACATGTATTATGTCACAATGTCTATGACATCTGTCTTGCTTATCTGGGTTCTCTAAATGGGAGTCTGTCATAAGACTGCTCTCAGGTGGCAGCTGAAGCTGAGATTTAACTCTTGAAAGTTCAACTGGGGAAGGATCTGTGTTCAGCTCACTCATGTGTTTGTTGACAGGATTCAGCTCCTTGCAGGCTCTTGGCAAGGGGCCTCAGTCCTTCTTTGGTTGTTGGTAAGAGCCTACCCTCAGTCTGTTGCTGTGTGGGCCTCTCCATATGCAGCTTGCTTCATCATAATGAGCAAGCAGAGACAGTGTAAGAAAGTGCTAGGAGTCTTGTGTTACCTAATCTCAGAGGTGAGTTCCATTAATTTTGTTATATTCTATTCATTAGAAGCAAATTGCTAGGTCCAGCCCACACTCAAGGGGAAGGGATTACATAAGAGTGTGAATACCAGGAGGCAGAGATTCTGGGCTCTATATCAAAGCGCCTATCACAATAAGTAAATTATTACACACTCATACAATTCAATACTATGCACCCATTGAACTTTCTATAGTAGTTACACAGGATATGGTGTTGCTGTCATGGGTAATGAAAAGACCCTCAGTGACTTGTGACTCAATATTGAGTATTCTAAAATATGTGGAACTGGAGCCCCAGAAGAAGATGAGAAAAATATTAGACAGAGAAAAATATTTGAAGGAATAATTGCTGAGAATTTTTTAAAGTAAGTCAAAAAATACAGACCCACAGATCCAAGAAGCTCAATGATCTTCCAGTAGGACAAAATGAAAGAAAGTTATACCAATGAACATTCTATTGTAACTTCTGGAAACACATAAAAAGAGATAAATCTTAAAAGAAAGCGAAGAGGAAAAGATTCTCTCTCTGTGAGAGAAACAAACATGAGAATGATAGTTTACCTCTCATCAGAAATATTGCAAGTCAGAAGACAATGGAATAATACCTTTAAAATGCTGGAAAAAAAATTTTCAACCTAGAATTATACATCCAGTGAAAATACTCCTCAAAATTTAAAATAAAATACAGACCTTTTCAGATAAACAAAAGTGAGAGAATCATCACCAGCTGAACTGTTACACAGGAAATGCTTAAGGAATTTCTTCAGACTGGAGGAAATTGATACAAGATGGAAAGCCAAGACTGCAGGAAGGAATGGAGAAGTTTAGAAACAGCAGATATGTGAATTATATATAAAATATATTTTCCTCATTTTTTAGTTTCCTTAAATAACATTTGATTATTGGAAGAAAGAAAATAATACTGTGTTGTGAAGTTTCAACATGTGTAGAAGTAAAACGTATGACAACAATAGCAGAAAGGATGGGAGGGCAATTAGTGGAAGCACATTAACTACTAAAACCAGCAAAACTACTAACTACTAAAGCCAGACATAAGAAATAGAGGATAAAATATTGAAATACTAAAAATTTTCAATTAGTCCAAGAGAAAAAAGAAACAGAACAATAAGAAAATAGAAAATAAATATGATAGTAGACTGAAACCCAACAATATCAGTAATACTACTAAATGTCATTAATGTTAGACTGAAAACTTAAGACTAAACTATATCGTATCTACAAGAAGCACCCTTTAAATATAAAGACACAGATAAGTTAAAAGTAAAGGATAAAAAAAGATGTGTAAACAATGAGAGTGGTGATGCAGCTATTAAATCAGAGAAAGGAGAATTCAAGATAAAAATATTCCTAAAGATAAGCATTTCATAGGGACAAAGAGGCAATTCATGAAGAAGACATCCTGAATAAACTTGTACATAACAACAGATCTTCAAAATACGTGAATCAAAAACAGAAAAACTAATGGGAAAAACAGACAAATTTAGAATTGTAACTGAAGACATTTCTCTCTCCGGTAGTGGATAGAACAAGTAGAACCAAAAAAAAAAAAGAAAACAACTTTAAGAAAATGGAATATTTGAATATTGCCAACCAATTTAACCTGAACTGTATAAAACACGACAGCCAACAGAAAAATGCTATTAATTTCAAGTGCACATGGAAAATTCACCAAAATAGACTGTCTGTTGAGAGATTAAAGAAGACTCAATAAATATCATACATTGAAATTATACAGAGCATTTCTCTGAATATAACAGAATTAAATTATTAGAATTAAATTAGAAATTAAAAAACATAAAATATATTTTTAAAAACTCCACAGTATTTGGAAACAACAAAATATTCTAAACATGCCATGGATCAAAGATGCAATCACAGTGTAAATTATAAAGCATTTTAAATTAAATAATAATAAAAACACAACATTTTAAAATTTATGAGATACAGCTAAGCAGTACTTGAGGTAATTTTATAGCTTTAATTGCTTATATTAGAAAATTGAAAAGGTTTAAAATCAAAAATCTGTTAAACTGAAAAGTCTAGAAAAAGGACAAATTAAACCAAAAGTAAAGAGAAATAAGGAAATAATAAAAATATCAAAGAAAATCAGTAAAATAGATTACTTTTTTGAAATGATAAACTGCTAACCTCCTAGCAAGACCAATCAAGGAAAAATAAGCCACAAATTACCAATATCAGAAGTGAAAGAGGAGTCATTACTACAGATCCTACAGACTTGAAAAGGATAATACAGGGATATTATGCCAAGAAATTTGACAATTTGGATGAAATGGAAATATTATGTGAAAAACAATCATACAGCTACATCCAAGAAAAGTAGAACATATAATTTGTCCTATATGTTAAAGAACTTACATTCATCATAAAAAATCTTCCCACAAAGAAAGCTCCATAACCATATGGCTTCACTAGTAAATTCTCTCAAATAATAATAGAATAAATAATATTGACCTTTCACAAACTCTTTCAAAAGAGTAGAGGAGGAGGAAACATTTCCCATATTATTGTATAATCCTCTTACCAAAATCAGACGAGGACATTATAAGAACAGTACAGACCAATACCCCTCATTAACATAGATAATAAAATCCTTTCCAAAGTATTAGAAAATTTAATCCAGCAATATGTAAAAAATATAATACATCTCAAACAAATGAGATTATCCCCAAAATGCAGGGCTGGTTTAACATTTGAAAACCAATTGTTATCCACCACATTAAAAAATAAAACAGAACTATCACATGATGTTTCTAAAAGATCTGGGGCAAAGTCCTTTGATAAAATTTAACACCACCTGTTTTCAGCAAAACAGAAATAATAGGAAACTTCCTGAATCTGATAATGAACGTCTACAGAAAACTTACAGCTGAAAACCTTCTTAATGATGAACCACCCATAGATTTCCACCTAAGATCAGGAAGAAGGTAAGGATGTCTGCTCTCACTGTACTGGGAGGCCTAGCCCGTTCAGTAAGGCAGAGGCATAACAGAAAAGGAAAAGGCGTAACAACTGGAAAGGAGGGTGGAAAACTCCACCTTCACAGATAACATTGTTATCTATGGAAACAATCCTGAGGCGATCACAAAAAATAAATACTACTTGAGCTAAGAAGTGAATTTAGTAATGTGACAATACACGAGGAGAATGTACAAAATACAGTTGTATTTCTACCTATCAGCAATACAAAATTGGATTAAACAATTTAAAAATAGCACTCAAAAAACAAAATACTTAGAGATAAATTTAGCAAAAGATGTGCAAGAAATTTACCCTAACAACTACATACCATCGAGAGACATTTTTAAATATATAAACAAATAAAGAGTTATACCTACATTTTGGATTGAAAATCTCAATACTTCCAAGATGTCAATTCTTCCCCAACTGATCTTTTCATTCATTTCTGCACCAAACTAAATCAAAGAATCCAAATTGAAAAGCTGAATCTAAAAATTATGTAAAAATACATCTGTTAGAGACAAAGCAATTTTGAGAAAGAAAAACAAAAGCTTTTAAGACTTGTTATGAAGTGATAGTAAAAGAGATACCGTGCTTTTGGCATAAGGAAAGACAAAGAGATCGATGGATCAGGATAAAATAATCTAGAAATAGATCCACATCTAGAGAGTCAATAAATGTTTGACAAATGCACCAAAGTAATTCAATGGGGAAATAATAGCCTTTTCAACAAGAAGTTCTGAACCACGTTAATATCGGTATGAAAAAAATGATCTTTAATTCCTACCATGCACCACAGACAGTAATTAGCTCAGTGTAAACTGCAGACCTAAACCTGAAAGCTAAAAGCATCGATCTCCTAGAAGAAAAGAGAGGAGAATATCTTCATGATTTCAGGGCAGGCAAAGATTTCTTAGCAACAACCACAAAACATTAAATTTAATTCCATCAAAATTATAAATCTTTGCTCATCAAAAGATATTGATAAATAAATGAATAGGCAAGCCAAAACTGGGAGAAACATGGCAAGTTACTTGTATTTAGAAATATAAAGAAGTCCTATGATGCAATAATAAGGCATCCCAATACTATTGGGCAAAAGACTCGAACACGTACTTCATAAAGGAACATACATGGATGGCCCACATGCACATAGCACAGTGCTCAACATTGATAGTCACCAGGGACATACACACTACAACCCTAGTGAGATACCACTTCAAACTCCAGACAGGTTCAAGTTAAAATGACCACATCAAATGTTGCTGAGGCTGCGGAGCACCTGCAACTCTCACACAGTAATGGGGGTAGAGCAAAGCGGTATAGCTACTTTGGAAACTAATTTGCCAGTTTCTTACAAAATTACACACACACTTACCTCATGACCCAGAATTCCACTCCTTGGTATTTACCTAAGAGAAATAAAAATATATATCCACAAAAAGACTTGCACAACAATGTTAATGGCAGCAAAAAAACAACTCAAATATCCATCAACAATAGGATAAATTGTGGTATTTTCATACAATAGTGTACCACTCAGCAATGAAAGAATAAACTATTAATACATGCAACAATATGGAAGAATTTTTAAAGCATTATTCTGAGGAAAAGAATGCCTATTGCATGAGGCCACTTATATGAAACAAGTGAAACTAGTCTATGGTGATAGAAATCAGAGCTGTGCTCATCTCTGGAGAGAGGCAGCAAGAATTTACTCGGAAGGGTCATGGAGGAACTTTCTGGAGTGCGTAAATGCTCTATATTTTGATATGGATGTGGATGTGCACATTTTTCAAAACTGATCAAACTTCATATTTAAGGATCTGTGCATTTCACTCTACGTTAATGATACATCAGTAAAATTTTTAAATCTTAGCTGATAACCCTCTTTTTGGCAAACTCCTGCTTATTAGTTGCAGTCCTCAAAATGGACCCCCCAACCAAGACCCCACAATCTTATTTTGCAGCCGCTAACCTGCCAAGAGAATGAAACGGCAAACTCCAGTCTGATAGAGCTCCATGTGCATTTTTTTCTCCAGCCACATTTCCTTGCATCTGCAACACTACACCATAGAAAGAGAACAGATAAGAAAGCCAGATGGAATCTCACCCAAATTTATTACTGAAATAGTCCCCAGGTGAATGGCAGTACCACCTCTCTTTCATAGGCAGATACAATAGTTTACCTCTTTATGAATAGTTTAAAGACTTCTCTGATTTGAAAATTTATTAAATTTTCGCTAAATTTTGATTTGGTCTGTGTGTAAGTTCCAGCCGGTTCATACACTTGAAATAGCAAGTGCTAAAACTGTTCAATATTTTTGTCAGCACAAGTCCCTCCCATCTCATCTTGTCCCCAAGCCCTGTCAGCACCCTCTCTGGAGTCTCCGACTCCATGGCCCAGGGTAGAGGATCTCTCAGCAGAGAGTTAGAAACGTCTCGAGAAACTCACCCCCCTCCGGTACGCGGTTTCATGGCTCTCTTCCCAACAATGAAAATAAATGGACAATTCTTTAGTGGAAGGCAGCTGGAAAGTCGTACTTGGGTTTGGATCAGTAACTTCGAGTTTGGATCCCTTGGAAATAAGCTCTTCAACCATGCTAATCAATAATTTCAAAAGTTCGGAGAAGTCTGTTTCTAAATTGTTAAGCAAGAAAAGTAAAATGCAACCGACGGTGTTCTGCTTGTGTTGGAATTTTGGTGAAATGTCATCCCTTATTCTCAAAAGACAAACATGCAGGTAGCACACGTCAGTCTATCTTATTAGACCCCGAAGTCCGCTACCCTCAGACTCTAGCATTAGTTGAGTGCAAATTATTAATGTCATGTTAAACCAATATGAAGAGAGGGCGATCAGATGTCATTGTGTTCTCTCAGGGAAGCCCATCTGTCAGCCTTCATCAGTCCTTGCCACTTTGAAGTGAATTAGGGTCCAAAGCACAGGAATTTGCCAAAGGAGAAAATTCCAAAATGCTGACAAACACACTAACTGCCTCCCCCGCAAACACACCCCAAACCCAGCTGCTCATCCATTGGGTTGGGGAGATGAGGTCCCATTAGACACGATGTCATGGTGTGACAGGATCCAGAAGATCTAGTTACCTGTCCCAACTCAACCACTGTGTCACCATGCAGGTCCTCCACTGTCATTCTCCATCGCTCTTCTTGTCTGACAATGTTGGGTTAGCAAGTCTAAGAATTACAGGATCACTAAACATGTAAACCAACTAAGGGGGCTCACCTGAACGCTCCCCCCTCAAACCTCAGACTTACCTGCATGTTTCTGTCTTCCTCCTTCCTTTGTGTTGCAGTGAGCAGCTTTCCTCACGCCCAAGGCCAATTGCTCCGCCTGTGCTTTGGCTCCCAGCCTCTCTTATCTTCTAGACAATGGTTGCTAACCAAGACTGCACATTTGAATCACCTGGTGAGCTTTTATTTAAAAAAGAAATGCCCCTGTCTCACCCAAGAAGGGAGCTCTGGGGAGATAGGCATAGTGGTTGGGGCATCAGCATTTTTTCAGAGTCCTCCGGGCAATTTGAACGCACAGCCAGAGTTGAGAAACTCTGATCTGGGACGCTGTGCAATCCACTGTCGCCTCTGTGGGTGTCAGTTCCTTCCTATTAAGTATTTAGAGGCAATTAAGCCTTCCACTGAAAAATCCCTCCCTCAGCTTCCCCCCTCAGCTGTCTAGCTCCCAATTCTCTCTTCATGATATACGACACTTTTCACCGGTTGGATTTGATTTGCCAAAATTTTTAAGAGGCTTTGCGTCCATTTCATGAGGAATATTGGACTGTAATTTTTTTATACTGTCTTTGTCTGATTTTTAGTATCAGTTTTCAGGTCTTACAGAATGAATTGAGACATCTTCTCTCCTCTTCCATTTTCTGCAAATGTTTGTGTAGAATTGGTATTATTTCCTCCTTAAATGCTTGGTAGAGCTCACAAGAGGAGGTGGAAGACCGGGGGTTTTCTTGGTGGGAAAGTTGTTAACTAAAAATCCATTTTCTCTAATAAATATAGGGCCATTCAAGTTATCAAATTCTTCATGAGTAATCTTTGGGGATTCGTGTCTTTTGAGAAATTTTTCCACTTCATTTAAGTTGACTAATTTATTTTCATAATTATTCATAATATTCCCTTATTATCTTCTTGATAGCTATAGAAATTCTATCCTCATTCCTGTTATTGGTCATTATTGCCTTCACTATTTTTTTTTTTTTTTTTTTTGAGGAAGATTAGCCCTGAGCTAACATCTGCTGCCAATCCTCCTCTTTTTTGCCGAGGAAGACTGGTCCTAAGCTAACATCTGTGCCCATCTTGACAAGCGGTGGACAGGTCTGCACCCAGGATCGGAACTGGCAAACCCCAGGCTGCCAAAGCAGATGGTGTGAACTTAACTGCTGCACCACTAGGCCAGCCCTGTCACTTTTTTTTTCCGGATCAGAATACCTAGAGATTTACTGATTTTATTCAGCTTCTCAAAGAACTTGATTTTGGTTTTGGTTTCATTTATTTTTTGTATTTTTTTTTTTTCTGTTTTCAAGCTCATTAATTTCCACACTGATCAACATTATTCCGTTTCTTCTGCTTACTTTGGGTTTCATTTCCTCCTCTTTTGCTAGTTCTCTAGGTTGGAAGCTGAGGTCATTGATTTTGTGGTCTTCCTTCTTTTCTGATATGGATATTTAGTGCTATAAATGTCCCTTTAAATGCTGCTTTAATCAGCATTAAGAAACATTAAGATACCATGCTTTCATTTCATTCAGTTCAAAATACTTTGAAATTTCAGTTTTTATTTATTTTTTGATAAACAGATTATTTAGAAGTGTCTTGTTTATTTTCTAAATATTTGGGGATTTTCCATGTATTTGTCTGTTATTTATTTCTAATTTACTTCCACTGTGGGTAGAGAACGTATATTCTATATGATCTGACTCCTGTCTCGTTTGTTGAGTTTATTTTTGTGATCCAAAATATGTTCTATCTTGGTGAAGTCCCATGTACACTTGAAAAAGCGCCTTCTTTTGCTGTTGAATGGGATGTTCCGTAAGTATGAATCACGTACAGGTGATTGATAGTGTGGTTCAGATCTTCCACATCCTGAATGATTTTTGCTCAACTTTTTAATCAATTAATGAGAAAGGATGTTGAAATCTCTGATTATAATTGTGGATTTGTCCATTTTGGCTCACAGCCCCCCTTCCCTTCACTGTGGCCTACAACCTCTTTCCAGGCAGTGAGCTGGGGCAGTCACGGGACTCGTCTCATGTGTTTTCCATCTCTTAGGAATCGGTGTCTGTTATTGACTAATATCCAGTGTCATTTTTTGATATATATGTTGTCCTTTTATTCCGGCAGGACAATATGTCCAGTCCCTCTTACCCCCTCTAGGCTGAAGCCTGAACTCTAGGTAGTGATTTTTGATACCTACTTCTTTCTCACCTCCGTAAAACCCCATAAATTAATCTCCCAAATCTCTTGGATGAACTCATTTCTCTTTATTTTCTCTGTCTTCTCTTTAGTTCAAACCACCAGCTTCCCCTCCTGATTTGCCATAGCCTCTTGTCTCCAATGAGTCTTCCTCTGGCCAATTTGTCTGAACCACTTCCCAGCCCATTCGCCACAGAGCACCAGAAGAGCCTGTATAGAAGCACGACCGCACCATGCCGCTTCTTCCACCCTTGCAGTCTTGGAATGCTTCTGCTCAAAGACACCGTAAAAGAGTGAGGATATACGTCATAGACATGGAGAAGATATTTGCAACATATCTAATCAACAAATCATTTTATCCAGAATAAAGGATTTTAAAAACTCAAAAAGAAGAAAGGTCAACCCCAAAACATAAACCAGCCATTCACAAAAACGACCCATTAAATTATGAAAAGATGCCCTAGCTCTTATTAATCAGAGAAATGCAATTGAAACTATAATGACACACCAATTCTCTTCCCATGACAACATCAATTGTAGGCAGGACATATAGCAAGAGGATCACAATATGCTACTAGAGAGCATATAAATTGATACAAATACTCTGGAGCACAATCAAATCTGAAAACTTGCATACCCTATAACCCAAAAAGTTGACTCCCAAGTTTTTAGCCAAGAAAACCTTTTACATACATATATAAATATCTAAATATCAGAATTGTCATAGCAGTATTGCTTATAATAGCAAAAGAAAGTGTATAGGCTCATCAAAGGAGAATGACTATTAATGCAATGGAATACTATGCAGCAGTGAAAATCAATGAATTACGGAAGCTAAGATCATTGTAGATAAATCTAACAAACATGACGCAGAGGAGAGGCAAGTTACAGACAATTTCAGACAGTGTGATACCAATTACTAGAAGTAAGCAAAATACTGTATTTGCTTAGACACACAGACATATTATCGTAATTTTCACAAAAGGGAAGGTAAGATAAGGATTAGGTGAGGATGATTTATTGAGAGCTGATCCTAGCAAACACCAGGAGGGGAGAGGGAAGGGAAGGTAGCCAATGAGAGGTGCTACCATCACGGGTAACTGGAGCTCCATCCTGCAGAGAAACTCCACGCCCTGGGGTATCTCATCAGAGGGGTGAGGGAGCCAGAGTATTTATACACCAAGGCCTGTCCATCTTTGTTTAAGGGCTGCTGGGGAGGAAGCATTAATTCCCCAGTACTTCTGGCCTGCCACGATGGAAGCAAAGTAGACTTTGATGGCCAGACAAAAACATGTCCTGTTTTGTGAGAAAAACATGGATGTCTCCAGGCAAAAAAAAAAAAAAAAAAATGCTATTACTGGAAATGAGGAGTTGACCCCAGGACTGCACTGAAATGGGAAGGACGGGGAGGATAGGCAGAGCTCGGACAGTAGCTGCCGTACACAGTAGGCTAAGGGTCCAAACTCAAGCAGGAGAATGAGAATGCCGCATCAAGTACAGCGGTTACTTTTGAAAGATAGGAGAGGTTTAACAGAGGAGAGAGACACAAACGGACTGGTCGTTCAATTTTTTTTAGGCCAGGGGGTGGGCACCTGCAGGAAACAGCAGGCACACTCGACTGGGTAAGTTGAGGAACTGTTTACAAAGGGGAGGTCAGGGTGTGGGGAGACCACAGGGTCCTTGGGATTTTTCCCACTGGCTGGGCTAAAGAGGCAAGGAGAGGGAACAGTTCCAGGACCCTGGGTCCAGAAAGAACCTGGCCGAGGAGAGGGAGCCAGGGGCATCAAAACCACTCTGTCTCACTGCTTCCTCCCGTCTCCTGCTGGGCTTCCATGGCCAAACCCAACAGCACGCAAGAGAGGCCCAGAGGAGTCAGCTCTCTGGGGCATGGAAGAGAAGGGTGGAGAACTGACCTGGAGGCAAAGAGGTGTTGAGCACAACTGGTGTGGGTTGTGTTGTTGTTGTTTTTTCATATTTTTGAATGCCTTAAATCCTGCTGAATATATTTTTCAAATGTATGTTTCATGTGTTGAATTGCCTTGTGGATAAACACAACTTAATAGGGCCACCTGGTCTGCATCCTGCCCCAGTCCTTTCATCTCAGCTCCCTCTTTTGTCGCTGCTCAGGTCCTTCGTGGTCCTATGCATCGTCCATCCTCTCCTGCCTCAGGGTTGCCACGCATGCTGTTCCTTTGGCATGAAATACTTTTCTCCCCCCATCTTTGCTCAGCCCACCCTTATTTAAACCTCAGGCTCCAGTTTAAATGTCTCACTCCAAAGAGGGCTTCCCTCTTCCGCCAGACCGCTGGCATCCATCTGGTGGGTACATAGCGTGTGGGTGTGAGTCTCCTTGCTAATTACACTCTCACAGCTTATTTATGAAGTCACCAGCACCGGCTCCATACGTCCAATGACTGTGATGTCCTTGGGTTCTGAGGACACACAGACAAGATAAGAAACCTGGTTTTATTCAGCACACAGCATGTGCCACCCCAGTGGAGAATGACACAATGTTCAAGCCTCAGTCGGAAAGGGAAAATGGCACAGAATTTAGAAACCAGGTATTAAAATATCTTGTCCTGGCTTCTCACCTCATGATGGCAATCCAACAATGCTTCTTCAGTCCCAGGGCCTTGGCTCCTTCTAGAATCCATGCCCAACTTCACTGCCTCAGAAAGGCAGTGGGAGCTTGGACGGTCTCAAGCGACCAGAGCAAAGCTCCGCTCGGCAGCTGTCTGGGTTGCCATCAGCAGGTGGAGCCGAATGGCTCTGGGCGTCCAGAAGAAATTAGTGGGGGAACAGACAGAACAGAACAAATGCTGAAGCCAGGCTGGGAATGTCTAGTCCTTCATGCTCTTCTGCCTGGTAGAGGTGACCTGTGAGAATGCAGGGACAAAAGTTTGCCCTCCTTACCTGCAACCCCGTTTGAACATCATGCATCAGTGTGGCTCATATTCAGTCTCTGATATCAGGCGCTCTGCAATTGTGACCCATGAATATCTTTCCATCCTTCAGAGCCTGCCTTTCCCCAGGAGGGTGCCCGATCTACCTCCAAATCCCTAGAGCCCAGCACAGCAGCCGAGTCACACCTGGCGACTGATTATTTACCAAATACAGAGTCTGCAATCAGATCCCTGCCTGCAGCGCCCACGTTCAATGGGAAACAGCATCCAGGCAAGGAAATGAGAACAGCCTCAGGTCAGCAACAAAGCACATCCTGGGAAAGGCGAATGAGACTACTGGGGACAGGCAACAGCTTAAATGGAATGACCCAGTGGGGCAGGGGTAGGGGAATGTGGGAGGAGGGAGCCAGAGGCGACACAGGGAGCCAGAGCCTGGATCCCCCAACCCCAGCAGCCCTGGAGCCAAACCCACTTTGGGGCCGGGCAGACGGAGGGGGCCCGGGTCCTCTCAGGGCCCCCCTGGGTTCCTCAGGGCACAGGTCCTTCCCCCTGAGGAACACAACAGGTTGGGCATGGGGATGTTGGTCCATGGGGCCCAGAGGTTGCCACACAAAGGAACCACAGCTTAAAAAACCGCGATGCTCTTTAAAAGTTACAAATCAGTAGCCGTCCCTTGTATGAAATTTAGACAATGCAGAAAAGAGCAACAAAGAAAATGATAACGATGCAAATTACCAGCACCTAACAATAACTACTATAACATTTTGAGTTCTCCTTCCACATTTCTTTTTCTTAAGAGTGTGAAGTGTGCGTGTGTGTGTGTGCGATGGGTATGAGTGTGCTGTGGGTAGCGTGTGTGCACATTGCATGTTCCGAGTTGTGTATCTTGTTTCTTTGTTGTATGTTAGTGCTGCTGATGTTATGTCATTGTGTGTTCCGTGTGCAGCAGGATTAAGTGCGTGTATGTGTGTGTGTATGGCGGGTGTGTGAGTATACTATGGACCTTAGGTGTGAGTGTGTGTGCAAGGCATGTATGTTGTATCACGTGTGCTGTGCACGCGTGTGTTGAATCTATCGCATGTACCGTGTGTTTATGTCATGAGTTTAGGCGTCATCTGTGTTGTGTATTGCTTTGCATTTGTGCATCACGTGTGTCATGTGGGAGTGCATGTGAGGGGGCATGTGTTGTCCATGCCATGCCATCTTGGGTGTGTACACTGTGTGTGTGAGTGACTCTGTGTGTGGCGGCGGCCCCTGCGGCCGCAGAGCAGGCCAGTGGGAATGGCATCGTAGCCGTGTCAGAATTATCGCCTCTTTATGGCAAATGATATGGAATTCCAGGTACCTAATTGGTATATACTTTCCTTTAGAATTAAATTTAAACATGTAAAAGGAAGTTTGGTTCGATAAAAATATCAAGTGACTAGCTCTTTAGGAGGAAGTTTGGGAAACGCTGCGCTAGAATTTTCATTCCTCTTCTCATTCTCCATGATTCAATGATACAAATTCTGAGCTTTTCTTCCTGAAACTTAAGATCAATGACAGGAAATTACCATCAATATTAACAAGTAGATAAGACAGCATTAGAGAGGCGGAGCTTTCCGACCCTCTGACCAGCCGATCCCGGCCCAGGTGCTCTCTCACCTCAGGGCAGGCAGGACTCGTGGGCACACCTGACTCGGGGCGCCCCAGCAGGAGGAGCTGGTCCCCCCTCTGCCAAGAGGCCCACCCTCAGCTGGCCTTCTTCCTGGGAGAAGGACCATGGTTCCGAGGATGGAGCGCCCGTCTGGCTCCCCCTTGTTTTGGCCTCCTCATACTCTTCCACCTCTGCGTGCAGAACGCAGACCTGGTTCAGGGCTGTGAGAAAGATCCACCGCAGGCCTTGACCCTGGTGTGAACCCGAGGGGCCCTGTGACTGAGAATCCCCTGACCGTGAGGCTGGGCTTCAACACACATGGTGTTGACTTCCTGGAACCCCTCAGACTTCTGTGACTGTCACCATCAAGACCCCACAGCAAATGTTGTATATTGTGTCTGGCAGTTTAAATACTGCTTTCATTCACATTCAGGAAGTCCCCTGAACAAACCTGTGACGGGATATTATCATTCTGCCAAACCAGGGGTCGTGTTTGTATCCCAGGAGAGCCAAGGCGGCGGACGGCTCCAGAGGACTTCGGGTACGTGCACGGTTGGGCCAGGTGATTCCCCTTTGAGTTTCTGATGCGTTAATAACCAGGTAAGGCCCTTCCCTGGTGTCACACGGTTTGGAAGGGACAGAGTTGGCATTTACGCCTACACCTTCTGCTGTACCAAGACCGCCAGGAGTGGGTGCAGCCTCCAGGGTTTACCCCGCCCCCACCGTTCTCAGCTGCCACCTAACCCTGTGTCCACCAGAGTCCCCGAGCTCCGTGGACACACCTTCCCTCAGTGCTCCCTCTGGCTGTTGTGCTGGCCCCACCTTTCCAGGCACACAGCAATTTCTCTCAGAGACAGGCGGGGAACATAACGAATGACCAAGACCTTAAGGAAAAAAGAGAGCACATCATATTTTTCT